CTACAATCTCTAAAAACTTAGTTTTTGCATTTAATGGATATCTTATTTTATATAAGTGGTTTAGATTACTAAAATTAAGCTACAAAAAGTTGCATATACAACATAAATAAAAATCTTGTCATTGTGTCACTTCTTTTTTTTTGTAAGAAGAATATTAAGAGACCCTAGTGGCCTAGTCTAAATGATTGATTCACTCAATATTACACAAGTCACATTACAAAAATTAGCCTATTTTTTTACCAAATGTTTTTGACAAGTTATTTTTGGGTAAAGTTTCACCATACGTTTAACCATAGATTTTGGAAAAAATATTTAAATTTTGTTTTGGTTATGAATACTTTAACGAAAAAATCTGAGGTTTATTAGTTTGGGCTAATTTTAAAATTTTAAAATTCGACACAAATGGTTTGGTATTTGAAAAACCCAAAAAAAATTGAGATTGAAAAACCTGAAAAATCCGAGTTTGAATAGTTTGGTTTGGTTTAATATTTAAAAAATTTGTACCAAACCGGTCATGTACACTCCTAATAGTAGATGAGGAACGTCCGTGGACAGCACAAGTCCAACATGGAAACGAAAGTAGTTACAGAGCCCAGTATAAGCAAATCATACACCATCTCCGCGAGACTTATGTTTGAGATCTCTATTAAAAAAGCAAAAGCAGTGGAAATAATAAATATACTAAAATAATAATTGTAGCATCACTATGAAATGTAGTTCCTACTTTGATATAAAATACTTAGATAGCCAATTTATTTTGTATGATACTGCTACTATTTGGAAGTTGTACAATGTTTTTCTCTCTAACTTGATTAAATATGTCAATGATAAACACTTTGTTTCTTTGTAAGGTTAAGTTTTGTGATTTTGGTAAACCTTTATATAATTTTGAGCACACTACCAACAATCCCACATATTCTCACTGTGAGAATGTTAAATTATTCTATATCTTTGCAAGATACATGTCTACGTGTTAAAATTCATTGCAAAATTGATAGAGTGAGTACCTTATACTTGCAGCGGATGTCCTTGATTTTGTAATGAAAACGAATTTATCCACAGTCACTCATTGAATCACTAGGAAACAAAGGCTACGTTTCACAAACTAAATGTCAATTTTGTATGTTGATGTTTTTCTGAAGAAAAAATTGTTTTTCTTGTTTTTTATCCTTTGTCATATCAAAACCAATGAGAGCAATATCAAATTGATTAAGAGTGGGATATGGTGTCTAACCTAGCATGACAGTCCTAAGGGTCTTGTTTTTGAGACCTAGAGCTCTAGCAAAATTAAATACTTTGATATCTTCATCTAGAGGTTTGTGAATAGCTGCAAGGTCATCACATATTCCTTTGAATTTCTTAATATATTCATCAATCTTTTTTGGTTTCTAGCCTAACACTTTGCAGTTGTTGTTTGAGCTGGAATCCTTATTTTTTGTTGCGTAAAGATAAGCTTCTTTCATGAATTCACACATATCTTTGACAGTGGAGCAACTTACAATGATATACATGCTTTCTTTTGTCAAGGTGCTTGAGATACAACTCTTTAGCAACACATCCATCTCTTGCAGTCATCAATATTGTTGTTCTCTTCTGTATCCTTCTCAATTGCTACAACTTTCTTAGCAGTCTTTCCAGTGGAACAAATACTTTTAGTTGGTTCATTCTCTGTGATGAGGTAGGTAAATCTCATCAATTGAATTATCTAAGACATTTGTGTCCTCCATGTAAGACAGTTTGTTGACTTGAGTTTAATGGAACATGATGCAATAAGATAGTGCAGTGAGTAGATTGATAGAATGTTTATAGAAGAGATTATTGTATTTCGATATTGTGATTATTCTGATCTTTGGATCTGATACATTAAATAGTGAAAAGGCTTTAAAGCTCTGATACCATGTAGAAATCTCACAAAAAGTATAGAGAAATAAAAATTGTATAGATGTCAATTCCCACAACTTTCTTAGCTGTCTTTCCAGTGGAACAAATACTTTTTGTTAGTTCATTCTTTGTAATGAGGTAAGTTAATCTCAACAATTGAATTAACTGAGACATTTATGTCCTCCATATAAGACAGTTTGTTGGCTTGAATTTAATTGAATAGGTTACAATAAGATAGTGATGTGAAGAGGTTGATAAAGACAGTTTCTGAATTTTTTTCCAAAAATGCCTACTTCCAATTTCAAGCTTCTTCATATTCATTTTAAATTGTCGGATGTTACAAAGATGCTCGAATTGTTAAGCTAACTGATAGGGTGGAGGGTATGATGGACGAAGAATCAAGTTACGCAGCTGGAAAACCTCCGCAAGTCCAAGAGATTGTCGATCGCCCCACAAAGCAAGTTGAATATGCTAAAGAGATTCAAGTTTCTTCGAAAGGAACGATCCTGATCAACCAAATCAGGGAGTTCATCATGGGGACCATTAAAGACAAGTACAAGGTTTCTACAAAATCCTCCTTGACATATGCAAGGCCATACACTGCAAGGATTGATAGTTTGAAAATGCATGCCGGTTATCAACCTCCAAAGTTTCAGCAGATGGTAAGGGAAGCCCAAAGCAACATGTGGCGCACTTCATTGAAACCTGCAACAATGCTGGAACATACGACGATTACCTCGTCAAACAATTTGTCCGCTCCCTTAAGGACAATGCTTTTGATTGGTACACGGACCTTGAGTCTGGTTCCATTGATAGTTGGGAACAAATGGAGCAAGAATTTCTCAACTGCTTCTATAGCACAAGACGTACTGTAAGCATGGTGGAACTTACAAACACACGTTAGCGAAATGAAGAACCGGTCTTTGACTTCATCAACTGATTGAGGCATACAAGTCTAAACTGTAAAGATAGACTTAGTGAAGCTTCGAGCATAGAGATGTGCATTCAAGGTATGCATTGGGCTCTCCGCTATATTTTGCAAGGCATAAAGCCTAAAACTTTTGAAGAGTTGGCCACTCGCGCTCATGATATGGAGTTGAGCATGTCGTCGGTCGGAACTGAAACACCACCTGTCCACGAACTCCGCAAAGTCAAAGAAAGGCAAAAATTCAAGAAAGTGGGAAAATATTTGCCAAAGACTGAAAACAAAGAATCCATGAACGTCAATGCCTCTCATGTGAAATTCACCACAAGGGTTGGCAATACGTAGAGCGCAAAAGCGAATCCTTTTGAAGGAAGGACAAATCAAAAGCTCACCTTAAAGTAAATGCAGCGGAAGGACTACCCATTTCTTGACTCAGATGTTTCCGCAATCTTTGATGAACTCCTTGAGATAAAACTTTTTGAGTTACCAGAGATGAAACGACCAGATGAAGCAGGGAGGAGTGATAATCCAAAATACTGCAAATATCATTGGCTGGTTGGACACCCTATCGAGAAATGCTTCATCTTCAAGGATAAAATCATGGACTTAGCTCACGAAGGGAAGATTGAACTTGAAGATGAGAAATTGAGTTCAAATCAAGTCAGTGTCGCTTCTAACTTACCCAATCCGATCATGACATGCAATTTTGTTGAAGAAAATATGGAGCAAGACATTCCAAACATTAATCAAACAAGAATGATTAAGTTTGGAGACTTCGAGCCCATTGATGTAAATAATTTGTTATCTCTTCCTATACTAAGTGATGTGGCTTCTGTAGGAGAGGGATCGACAAGACAAGATGAAGACCTAGTAGATGATCTTGATGATTGGGGCTGGACTCTTGTGACTCGCCGTAGACTCAGAAAAGTGAGTTCGCATAAGGAGTCAACAAAACAACACGTCAGGGAAAAGATGATAAAGAGACCCAAAACCAAAACTTTGATCGTGCATTCAAAGAAGAAGGAAATAAAGGTGCACCACTACCAAAAGTTGCGGCGACCCATTACATTAGGAGAATATTTACCAAATTGGTGTTACACCAAGTTCACAGGCGATGGCACAAAAGCTCTATGTTGTAATGTCGATAAAAAGGAAGCGAAAGATGCAACTCCATCATATCCATCACTAAAAGATGCTCTAAAGCCATCTCCTGAAGTTGAAAATCCATCATGTACAGCACCAAAAGATGCTCCACAGCCATCTTTTGGAGTCGAAAATGCATGTATGGCCAAAATTGCATTCTTTGACGATGATCTTCTATTTGGTGACACATTTCATAATCGCCCTTTATTCATGGTTCGTTTTGCACGTGAGAAAAGGGTGAATAGAATCCTAGATGATGGAGGATATGGAATCAACATCCTTCCAATTCGCACAATGAAAGAACTTAGGATATCAACAATAGATCTTACTGATAGTCACTTGAAGATCCAAGGATTCAATCAAGGAGGACAAAGGTCCATAGGGACCATCAAAATAGACCTCACCATCGGAGAGTTGCAATCAAGCGTGTGGTTACATGTAATTTATGCAAAGACTTCATATAAAAATTTTCTTGGTCAATCGTGGGTACATGAGAACAAAGTAATCCCATCTACCTACCACCAATGTTTGAAGTATTATGAGGATGGAGTTGCAAAAAGGATTATTGCAGATGATAATCCATTCACTGAAGCTGAAGCTCAATTTGCTGATGCAAAGTTTTACTTGAAGAAATATTCCACAAAACTTGATAACATTGCATCCAGAGATGTCGGACTCCTTAACAATATGGCTAAGGTAGCGGTCAGTAAGGTAAAAGTCACAAACAAGGAAGATCCAAAGCTTGGCAATCCAAACAAGATGCCTAATGTGATTGGTGCTTTTTCAAGTGAAAAGGTCACACCCATTCTTTGTTATGTCCCAAAGGCAAAAGAGGACAAGGGACACTCTCTCGAGTTGCGAGAAAATGCGCTGGAAGGTTTGACCCTCCCTGTAAGGTGAATTGATATGATGAAGTCACCTACAAAATTACTTTGGGAAGTATGTGGCTCCTAAGTCATTACTTCACAAAAAATTTGTTGCCCCTAAATCACCCCAATATGAAGAACTCCCAATGAAGCGTACATAAGAAGGTTTTGATCCTAATGCTTACATGCTGCTAGCAAAACCTGGATTCGATCCAAACGAACCGTCAAAATTAGGGAAGCTTCCATCAGAACTTGCTATGAGGCAACAACGTGAAGGGTTGGGCTACAAACAACCTCCACCTATCCACATCTCCATAAAAAGGGTAAGCAACAATTACATAACTGTGAAAGATGAGTCTACTAATTCTAACAAAAGGCCTTCTGTCTTTGTTCGACTTGGAAGCTCAACGAAGAAGATTTCTGTATTTCAGAGGTTAGGGCCATTGAGAAAGAAAAACAAGGTTTGGAGAAATAGCAAGAGTATACAAGCATCTGCTTTACTAAAATCTCAAAATGCTCCTAAAGACTTTCAAAGTCTGATCCTTTCTAGAATGAGGCGGCAGACGAACATTGTGGTCTCATGTAGAGAAGTACTAAAGGCAAAGTCGCATGTTGTGTTCTACACCAAGCAACGTGATGAAGATGAAGAAAGTGTTGGCTCTTCATATCATGTCACTACACAAGATGAAAGATATATTTTTTCTCTAATTAAAATTGATGGAGGGTAGGAGAATGTTTCATGGTGTTACCATATATTTTTCAACGATAGAGAACCACCAGAAGATAAAGATGCAAAAGATGCGCCACCCAAACTTGAAGAATGAGTAAATGTGACAGTTGATGCATTGAAAGAAATCAACCTTGGAACTGATGAAGATCCAAAACCCACCTATGTGAATGCTTCACTTGCGAGTGATGAGGAAAAACCCTACGTTGACTTACTCAAAGAGTATAAAGATGTATTTTCCTGGAGTTACAAAGAAATGTCTGGATTAGACCCGAAGGTAGCAGTCCATCATCTTGCTGTGAAAAGCGGTGCACGTCCCATTAAGCAAGCTCAACGGCATTTTAGGCCTGAATTGGTTCCCGTGATTGAAACTAAAGTTAACAATCTTATTGAGGCTGGCTTTATCCGTGAAGTTAAGTACCCCACATAGGTTTCAAGTATTATCCCCGTGAGGAAGAAGAATGGGCAAATTTGAGTTTGCGTTGACTTTAGGGATCTCAATAATGCATGTCCCAAAGATGAATTTCCACTTCCTATCTCTGAGCTTATGATTGATGCCACTACTGGGTATGAGGCGATGTCTTTTATTGATGGTTCATCCGGCTACAATCAGATCCGTATGTCGCTAAAGGATGAAGAGTTGACCGCATTCCGCACTCCTAAGGGCATTTATTGATACAAAGTAATGCTTTTCGATTTGAAGAACGCAAGAGCAACATACCAAAGACCTATGCAAAACATCTTTGATAACATTCTTCACAAAAATGTTGAATGTTATGTTGATGATTTAGTAGTGAAATCAAGAAAACAGTGTGATCACTTGCAAGAATTGAGGATGGTGTTTGATCTACTACAAAGGTATCAACTTAGAATGAATCCTTTGAAATGTGCGTTTGAAGTTACCTCTGGAAAATTCCTTGGCTTCATTGTACGACATCGAGGATTAGAAATTGATCAAGTAAAAGTAGATGCAATACTGAAGATGGTACAGCCAAGAAACATCCATGAATTGAAGAGTCTGCAAGGGAAGCTAGCATATCTTAGGAGATTCATCTCGAATCTAGCAAGAAAGTGCCAACCATTCAGCCGCCTTATGAAAAAGGGCACTCTTTTCGAATGGGACCAAGCTTGTAGTAATGCCTTTGAGAGCATCAAGTCTTACTTAACAAAACCACTAGTTTTAGCAGCTCCTGTTCCTGGAAAGCCATTGATACTGTACATATCAGCTCAAGAAAGATCAGTGGGAGCACTCTTAGCCCAAGAGAATGGCAAAGGGAAAGAAAATTCCCTTTACTACTTGAGTAGGATGATGACACCAAATGAGTTGAAGTACTCGTCAATCGAAAAGCTATGTTTGGCCTTAGTCTTCTCAATTTAGAAGATGAAGCACTACTTTCAAGCTCACGTCGTCCGTCTTATTTCTAAAGCCAACCCCATCAAATTTGTGATGTCGAAACCTGTCCTCAATGATAGACTAGCAAGATGGTATCTCTAATTTCAGCAATTTGAAATTGTGTATGTTCCTCAAAAGGCTGTGAAAGGGCAAGCATTGGCAGACTTCTTAGCAGACCACCAGATACCTGATGATTGGGAACTCACTAATAAATTACCTAATGAAGATGCAATGGTTGTTGAAGTTCAACCGCCTTAGAAGATGTATTTTGATAGGGCCTCACATCGCGAAGGAGCTGGCGCTGGGGTGATATTTGTCACTTCTCGAGAGAAGATCTCGACGTATTCCTTCACCTTAATGCAATGTTGCTCCAATAATGTTGCAGAATATCAAGCCTTAATACTTGGGCTTGAAATGGCGGTTGATATGAAGCTATTGCAATTACAAGTTTTTGGAGACTCTGAACTAGTGATCAATCAATTATTAGGTAGCTATGAAGTCAAAAAGCCAGAATTGCGTCTCTATCATGACTATGCACAAAAACTGATTAGATGGCTCAGAGATGTAACTCTTCAACATGTTCCAAGAAATGAGAATAAGAAAGTTGATGTTTTAGCCGCTTTGGCTTCAACTTTAACTGTCTGATCAAGCGCAAATCACTATCTGCCAAAAATGGATAGTACCATCGGATGTGGATGAAAAGAGCAAATTTGAACATCTTGTAGCTGTCTCACAAGCTGAGATAGTCGATTGGAGACATGACCTGATTGATTACTTGTGTTACAATATACTTCCAGAATATCCAAAGAGAAAGACTGAAATTCGTCATCGTGCTCCTTGGTTTCTTTACTACAAAGATACTCTTTATCGAAGATCATTCGAGGGAGTCCTCTTGCATTGTTTGGGGGAAGAAGAAGCGATTCAAGCTATGCAAAAAGCACATTCTGGAGTTTGTGGATCACATCAATCTGGGACCAAGTTACACTTTCATATAAAAAGAATGGGGTATTATTGGCCAACAATGGTAAAAGATTGCTTGGATTATGCTTGAAGATGTCAAGCATGCCAATTTCTTGCAAACTTTATGCACCAACCTCCTGATGTATTACATCCGACTATTGCATCTTGGCCATTTGATGCTTGGGGGCTAGACATGGTTGGACCACTACCTAAATCTTCTGGTGGTCACTTGTATATCTTGGATGCGACAGATTACTTCTCAAAATGGATTGAGGTTGTTGCCCTCAAAGAAGTAAAGAAGGAAAATGTTGCAAACTTCATCAGGGTGAACATCATCTATTGTTTTGGCATTCCTAATTATATACTAACAGATAATGGAAAACCATTCACCAATAAATTGATGGATAAGATCTGCGACCTTTTTGGCTTCAAGCAACGTAATTCATCAATGTATTATGTTGTTGCAAATGGACTAGCTGAAGCATTTAACAAGACCTTGTGCAACTTGTTAAAGAAGGTCGTCTCCAAATCTAAAAGGGATTGGCATGATAGAATGGAAGAAGCTCTTTGGGCATACCGGACGACTCATCGCACGCTGACTCAAACAACTCTTTATTCTCTTGTTTTTGGAACTGAAGCAGTCCTTCCACTTGAACGACAAATACCGTCATTGAGGCTTGCCATCCAAGAGGGACTTACTGAAGAATAAAATGCTTGTCTGCGCCTTGAAGAGTTAGAATCTCTCGATGAGAAAAGGTTGGAAGCTCAACAAAGTCTTGAGTGCTATCAAGCTCGTCTTTCTCGTGCTTTCAATAAAAAGGTTCACCTAAGGTCTTTCCAAGTCGGTGATCAAGTCCTTGTGGTAAGAAGACCAATTATCATATCTCATAAATCGAAAAGCAAGTTCACATCAAAATGGGATGGACCATATGTCATTCAAGAATTCTATTCAAGCGGAGCTTACAAAATTGTGGATGCAGACGGCTTGCGGATTGGTCCCATCAATGGAAAATTCTTGAAGAAGTACTATCCTTGAAGAGGCGTCATGCTCCTGGCCCGCAAGAGTATAAACTGTGTACGGCCCCAAAAAAAAATGTCCACTAGGTTGAAAATCTCGAAAGAGGCGGCCTAGGCAAAAGCTAGGACACAAAATAATAATAATAATAATAAATAAAAAAAAAAAATCACTCTCTGAACTACGTAATGACTTGATCCTCTTCACTGAGGTACGTAGGCAGCTTAGAGTATTATTACTCTAGGTTCAGTCATAAGAATAAAAAATAAAAAGAAAAAAAGAAAAAAAAACGTCGCCATGTGAATATCATGCTAATTCTTTCAAATGAAGATTCAAGCACGCAGATTTTGAGCCAAATTCGAACACAAATCTGTACTAATCTGTAAATCCCATGGATGTGATTTTTTTATGTAGACTGAAAATATCGAAGTTATCTTTCCAACAAAAAAGGAAGCTCATTATTCCGGCGCTCCTACTCCACGTTATGAATTTTCTTCCACATGTGCGCAAAGCTAAAGAAAGCTGAAAATTCAAACACCCAAATTTTGAGCTGACTTTGAAGACAAATATGTATTAATCCATAAATCCTATAGACGTGATTTTTATATGGATTGAAGATATCGAAGTCGTCTTTCCAACAAAAAAAAGAAGCTCATTATTCCGGCGCTCCTACTCCACGTTATGAATTTTCTTCCACATGTGAGCAAAGCTGAAGAAAGCTGAAAATTCAAGCACCCAGATTTTGAGCTGACTTTGAAGAAAAATCTGTATTAATCCGTAAATCCTATAGACGTGATTTTTATATGGATTGAAGATATAGAAGTCGTCTTTCCAAAAAAAAAAGAAGCTCATTATTCCAGCACTTCTACTCCACGTTATGAATTTTCTTCCTCATGTGCGCAAAGCTGAAAAAAACTGAAAATTCAAGCACGCGGATTTCGAGTTGACTTTGGAGACAAATCTGTATTAATCCGTAAATCCTATGGACGTGATATTTATATAGATTGAAGATCTCGAAGTTATGTTTCCAACAAAAAAAGAAGCTCATTATTCCGGTGCTCCTACTTCACGTTATGAATTTTCTTCATCATGTGCACAAAGCTGAAGAAAGCTGAAAAGTTAACGTTTTGTTGCTATCCTCATATAAACGCTAGCTTATGGAGTCTTTTTTTTAATAAGGAAAGGGGTCTCGTGGAAAGAAACAATCAAAATTCAAGAGGAGAAAATTCTTATTGAAATATAAGTCACTATTTTATTGCTTCAAAAAAGAACCACTACACCATAATGAGCGAATTAGAAAATCCTAAGCAAATAAATAAAGAAATCTAACTACGGCAAAAGTTTGAACTTATGATTTCTTGGCGACTTTTCTCAACTGCCCCTTCTAGCTTGGCTAGTCTCTCAACTTCTCTTTCTCCACATCTGCTAGAGTTGCTTGAAGTTTATCCATGGATCCATCCAACTTTTCATGTGCCAGCTTTAAGGCTGGGCACTGGAACGGGTTGTACCGGTACCGTTTCGGTTCGTTCCAGTTCGTTCCGGTTCGTTCCAGTTCATTCCGGTCCGATAGTATTCGGGACGGGATGGGATACACTGAACCGGTACACGGAACGGAACAGAACGGTATCATGATTTGGTACCGGTATACCGGTACCGGTTCATCCCGGTTCATTCCGGTCCAGTCCCGGTAAACCATTTTTAATTAAAATAAAAAATAATATTTTTGTCATTATTTACTTTTATTAGCATTTCTTTTTTGTTTATTTAATTTTTTAAAATTACAAACTTAAGTTATTTAACTTACAAGTTATAAGTATAACTTAATAGCTTAATAACTTATAAACTTCAAAAGATTCAAATCTTTAAAACTTATAACATAACTACATAAGCTCAAAAACTTTAAAAAAAAACTTTATTAAACTTAACTTACAAACTTATATACGTAAAAATTTAAAAAAATATCTTTAAAATAAACTTAAGTAAAATTATTATAAATTTTAAAACTCAAATAGTATAAACTAATATAACTTAGAAAATAAAAAAAAACATTCATATTTTCGTAATTCAAAATAACTCAAACAAAATAATTATTTTTTGAAATAGCTATATGTGTCGTCCCGTTTATCCCATCCCGTTCCGTTCCGGTCCATTCCGATCCATCCCGGTATATACTGGTACGGGACGGAACTGAGCCTCCATCCCGGTAGTTCCGGTCCGGTTCATCCCGGTATCGGTCAACAACCCGATCAAACCGTCCCACTCCGGTCCGGTACCGGTTCGTTCCGGTCCGGTCGTCCCATTCCGGTCC